AGATTCCCATGAACAGAATTGCTGAGTCAAAAGGTTGACATGTTTTTTAAAGGTTAGATACATATTAGTCAAAGTCTTCTAAGCCTCTCTGATCTTTGTAATTCATTGTTCCTTTCTAAAAATGTGTAACTGTCTTCTGAGTTCAAGGATAGATTTTTTTTTTTTTTTAATTAATACGGGGCTTCTTGTTCTCCTTCCTCCCCTTTCCTTATTTCTTCAAAATGTTTAACAAAATAATACATTTTCAAAAGGCATTATGCTTTATCTTGTCAGTATTTCCAGTACTTTGTGTCTCCTGGACTTTATGCAATGGGAGTGTGTGCACAGATGGAATATGTTCTACCATTTGGCTTAATGACAATTTTTCACACCACTAATTTTCTTTCTTTATTTTGTTTTTTCTTTTAAGCCTCACAAGAATTGAAGTAACATATATAACATATAATAATTTTGTTTTCTTGATTTCAATATATGTAAATTAGGGGGGACTGCCTGGTAAGGATGAATGATGTGTCAGAGCTCTAGAAGACAAAGCTCTCGCCTCTGCCTCTGACTTGTTTTATGACCTTGAGGTAACCACTTAATCATTCTGCATTTCATTTTCCTCATTTGCCAAATGACAAAGTGAACTAAATGACCTTGAAAACCTATTTTTTTTTAAGTGTCAGTCTATCCAAGACTCAAGTTGATCTTTGAAAAGTATTGTTTGAAATTAGGGCAAATACGTGCATGTGTTGGTTGGGCAAAGTTGGAGGCACTAAAGATTGGTTTCAACATATTAAAAATATTTTGTGCTCTGACGCTTGACCAAGGCCTCCTAACAGTGTGCTTTAGTGGTTTGTGAAACATATTTCTAAGGCCAAGGTAATTATAGTTGTTCCACTGAAGCATGACAAATGGCCCCTCACTATGAATTCTTTTATGGGAAAGAAAAACCTTCCATGACAACAGCCCTGGAACTTAATGACAGGCTGCAGATCTGGGGGCAAGAATAGAGACAGTCATTGGCTGCAGTCAAGAGAGAGAAGACAACAGCATGGGCTCACCTGGGAAGAATCAGGGCAGAGTGATGTAACAATAACAACAGCGACATTAGTGGGGCTCTACTGAGAACTTGCAGAAAAATATAAAAATTTGACAGGATGTTGTCCCAATAATTTCATATACACTATCTCATTTAATTCCCACAATGCGGCCGGTCGCAGTGGCTCATGCCTGTAATCCCAGCACTTTGGGAGGCTGAGGCGGGTATATCACAAGGTCAGGAGTTTGAGACCAGCCTGGCCAAGATGGTGAAACCCCGTCTCTACTAAAAATACAAAAATTAGCCCGGTGCGGCGGTGGACACTTGTGATCCCAGCTACTCGGGAGGCTGAAGCAGGAGAATCACTTGAACCTGGGAGACAGAGGTTGCGGTGAGCCAAGATTGTGCCATTGCACTCTAGCCTGGGCAACGGAGCAAGACTCCATCTCAAAAAAAAAAAAAATTCCCACAATGCCCCTAAGAGATAGGTCATGAGGTAGGTACTTTTATTTTTTCTGTTTTACAAAGATGAGCATTGGGAGGTTCTTTAAAAACGAAGCTAGATAACCTCCTTTGAATTATTCAGCCATTAGTTGTCAGAGATAGGATTTGAACCCTGAGAGTTCATTCATTCATTTAACACGTTTGTTTTGTTTTGTTTTGAATGCCTGTTATGCACCAGGCACCCATCTAAAGGCTGGTGACACAGAAGCGAATGAAGCAAAATTCCTGCTTTTATGGAGTTTGGCTAGTAGAGGATGAGACCAGTCATAACAAACCAATAAATCAATAAATAATTTCAGAGGGCCATAGTGCTATGAAGAAAAATCAGCTCTCTGTGAGGAGAGTGACTGGGGCAGAGGGAAGGTCACTTTATAGGATCTTGGCAGGGAAATCCCCTGGCTGGTGACATCAAGCTGAGCCCTATGCGATGGAGCCAGTGAGCCATGCAGCGAACTATTGGAGGGCATTTTACCTGCAGAGTCCATCAGAGCAAAGGTCAAGGACTCAAAAGAGCTTGGCTTGTTCTAGGAACAGATAGAAAGCCAGTGTAGTTGGATGATAAATGAGAAAAGGGAAAAATGTCTGCAGTGGAGTCAAAGAGGTGGGCAGACTCCCGATGATGCAGGACCCATGGGCCACAGTAGGATGCCTGGATTTTATTCCACGTGCAGGGAAGACCTTGGAGGATTTTACACTAGGAAGTGTTGTGATCTTCAGTCTCTGCAGGCAGATTTCTTCCTCTAGGTTATGTTGCCAACAAGGAACATCTGAAACGGACTAGGTTGTTTATGTAGCCCACAGCCTAAAGGAGTATTAACTTAGGGGCCAGCGTTTCAGACAAAACAAAAACTGTAGGGTTTCCACAGAACAACAAGACTGAAATGGACAGCTAGAGGTCTCCTTAGCTGAACTTCTGACTTTAGGTAAGAAGACCTTAGCAGATCCAAGTGGAGCATCTGGACTATACTAAAGACCTTCAGAAAGGGAACTTCATCTTCTGTCTTGAGACCTTCCCTGAGTATATAGAAGGCGGTGCTCTAGATACTGAACTTGTTTGACCACTTCTTGGTCTGGAGGTTGTGCTTGCCTCATAGAATAAACCTCATCCAAAATAACAAGACATTACAGCTTTGAGTAGGTGGCATCTCAGGGATTTGCATTTCTGTGTAATCTATCGTGTGTGTGTGTGTGTGTGTGTGTGTGTGTGTGTGTATGTGTATGTGTGTATCTATTTGTCTTTGAAAAAATATTTTTGAAGATGCCTTCAACATTTTAACATAGAGAACCGGGGCACGTTGGCTCATGCCTGTAATGCCAGCACTTGGGGAGGCTGAGGCAGGTTGATCACTTGAGGTCAGGAATTCAAGAGCAGCCTGGCCAATATGGTGAAACCCCATCTCTACTAAAAATACAAAAATTAGCTGGGTGTGGTGGCACATACCTGTAATCCCAGCTACTTGGGAGGCTAAGGCAGGAGAATTGCCTGAACCTAGGAGGCGGAGGTTGCAGTGAGCCAAGATCATGCCACTGCACTTCAGCCTGAGCAACAGAGTGAGACTGTCTCAAAAAACAAACAAACAAACAAACAAAACAAAAAAGCAAAAAGCAAAAACAAAGGGCCTGGCATTTCTGATGAGGGGGCATTGTATGAATGGGACTAGAATTTGTTTTGTAAACTCAGCAACTTGGTTAATTTTATTTGAATGCTCTTTATAAACAAACACTCATGTTAACCCATTGAAATTGATTTATGTCACCTATGGGATGAAATTAATTGGTTGGATTAAAGTCTCACTATTATAAGACACTGTTCTCTTACTTTGACAAAAATATTCAGAGTTAATGAACACATTGATTTAGCAAAACCCAGTTTGAATAACATGGTAAACCATCACTAATGCACTGACTGTGTGTGTGCCTAGGTGGCCAACTATCCCTCTGTAGGTTCTTGACAATTCAGTTCTAACAACACAAATTTGTTTGTATGAAATGAGCATGAGAGACATTTAGTTGAGCACTGTGATATGGTGGGCCCCAGAGAGCAAGGTAATAATTGTGAAAGAATTCAATTTAAGCTGCACAAGTGAGTAGGATTTGGGGAAGAATACTACCCTTGAATTAGTTTTTATTTATGAAGAGCCTATTTGTTTCTCAGGTGGAAAAACATCCTCAAACCACCTTACTTCATGAGTGAGGTCAGAAAAGTCTAATGGAGCCGGGTGCAGTGGCTCCTGCCTGTAATCCCAGCACTTCAGGAGGCTGAGGCAGGTGGATCACTTGAGGTCAGGAGTTCAAGACCAGCCTGGCCAACATGGCGAAACCCCACCTCTACCAAAAATATAAAAAATTGGCTGGGTGTGGTGACACGCACCTGTAATCCCAGCTACTCGGGAGGCTGAGGCAGGAGGATTGCTTGAATCCAGGATGTGAAGGTTGCAGTGAACCGAGATCATGCCACTGCACTCCAGCCTGGGTAACAGAATGAGACTCCGTCTCAAGAAACGTTTAACAGGACAGGAACACAAGGACAAGGGTAGTCTAAGGGCAGGCTGTGTGGTGCACCAGAGGTAGAGGATGACGAGAACAGAGTTTCCATATCTAAAGGTGCTGAACTAGAAAACTCTCAAGGTTCCCCCACATCAACATTCTGTAGTTTGGCAAAAAAGGATTTTTTTTTTCTCCTATTTGAGTTAGAGCATGGTTTCCCAAGGCCTTATAGCTGTGAGTGCAGGAGGACTCTAACAACTGCATCAGAATTATAAATTCAGCTGTCAGCATTGGGGTGGTTGAGTTGACTGAACAAGCAGGTTTTCTCTCATTGTCTGTTTCCTAGATGGATGAATAACAATTTCAGCCTCTCCACTTTGTTGTAACTCTGTCAGTCTGACATTTCTGATTGCTGAGAGGTTTGTGGAAATTTTCTAAGTCACACATTGAAGTTAATTCAAGGAGATAATGCAATTCCAATGGAATCATCAGTGTCTCTGCTGTCAGATCGAGTATTTTAGGAGTTCAGTTGGTTGAGTTGCACAACTCTACAGATTTAATACCACATACTTGCCGCTTTGCGTCTTGCCCTCAAGTCTTAATAAATGGGCTAAAGGTCTGATTGGAAACTGTGAGATAAATTATATGTTTACTATGCCAAGTTAAGTAAATACCATTTGAAAGGATTACTAGAGGGTACAATCAAGTTAATTGCTTTAAAAATCTTTTTTGATTTACTGGGCTCTATGAAAATTGTGAAGCAATTGATCTGCCACAGTACATGAGCTGAAGAAAGTGGTGCTGAGTCCACAAGGTTTCCATGCACATCCCCCCCCCGTGCCTGGAACTGCCCCCTCAGTGAGAAGAGAGTCCCCCCGAGACCCACATGCAAGTACTGCAGACAGACTGTTGTTCCTCCAGAGAAGACACACGTTGACAGCTTGACGTTCAGACTGATGATGGATTTCTTTTTTTTTTATTCTAGATGCTGAAGAATACCAGCCTCCAATATGGAAATCATACCGTGAGTACCTGAAATGAAAATCTCCCCAGAAGTCTTTAGCAGGCCAGCCTTTTTGAACAATTCTTGCCAGGGATGTGGTGCACACAAGTGTTCCCACCTTACAGCGCTGGAAACTCAAATCTTTCTTTCCACTGAGGAAAAAGATTAGTCAGAGAGGATTAACTGAGCCTCCTCCTCTTACCAGGGGCTCCAAGAACCAGCTGTGGCCCATTTCAGAAATGCTTGGAAGACAGGTGGACTTTCTGACTCTCTGCCTTTCAGTTTGGGGCTTTATTTTTATTTATTTTTTTATACCGTTGATTAGCAAGTGAGAATGTGTTGATTTCTGTGAATTATGTTTTTGGCCAATCATTCTAAGGATAAAATATTATGTGACATCAACCACTGAAAAATGAACAGATAGTAAAGAACTGTGTTTGGTCACCAAGGGTGACTCTTAGAAACAGATCCTGCCTGATCATCGGTCACCCGCCTAGCTCCCCTCATGAAGGCAGGTGGCTGTCATCACCTAAGTCTTGTCTTCTCTTTCCTTAGTACTATATGCTTGACTCGGGAACTCCCCAGTGAGAGAGGGCAGGACTGTGGTAGGAGGAGCCCACTGTGTCCAGAGCCAGGGGACGCAGGTCCTGGCTCAGGCTCCACTTCTGCCATCATCATTAGCATTCCTAATAAAGCTGCCAGGGTTACCACTCCCCATCAAGAACCTGCCCTGTGCTGGCCACCGCACCAAGCAGCCAAGTCCTGAATTCTTACCATAGCTCTCAAAGATGGGTACCATTTTTTTTTTTTTTAATTTTTTGAGACAGGGTCTCGCTCTGTCACCCGGACTGGTGTGCAGTGGTGCAATCTCAGCTCACTGCAACCTCCACCTCCCGGGCTCAGGTGATCCTACACACTCAGCCTCCCAAGTATGTGGGACTGTTACAGACGCCACCACACCCAGATAATTTTTTCTATTTTTATTAGAGATGGGTTTTGCCATGTTGCCCAGGGTGGTTTTGAACCCCTGAACTGAGACAATCCACCAACCTTGGCCTCCCAAATTGCTGGGATTTCAGGCATCAGCCACCATACCAGGCCTATGGGGACTGTTATTATCTCTCTTTCACATGTAAGGAAACTATGGCTCAGGGAGGCTAAGTAACTTGGTGAAGTATTCACAAAAAGTAGTGGGGTAGCGTTCTGAGTGGAACCCACAGCCTGCGTGTGTCCAAGACTTGTCCATTCTATTCAAAATCTTATATATACATAAGTGCATGTATACACACACACATACACACATATTATATATCGATATATAACATATACATACACACAGCCACACACACACATATAAATATATATGTATGTATTTGTTACAAAAGCAATACAAAGCTACATAAAAGACAGACGTTAGGGAAATATGTAAAACTGACAGTAAAAATTTCCAACATCCACAAATTCCCCACCCCATATTCCAGTTCACTCTCCCCTTTGCCAGTTGCTGAACTCTGTGAATTTGGGGAGGCAGATCCTTCTGATTGTTTAAAAGCACGTGCTTCATGTTAGGCATTTTCGTTGTTGTTGTGTAAAAATGGCTTTACGCTATGTCTTTCAGCTTGCTTGTTTCACTTCACAAACATCTTGTTTTTATCTCTCCTTGTCAGCACATACAGAGGCACCTTGTTCTTCGTTACATAAGTCCGTTCTTCCATCTGTGAAATAATGGGGCTGTGCTGGGTCTCTAAGGGCCCTTCCAGTCTAATGCTCTGCATTCCGATCTTCTATTTTGAAAGGCCGTGCTAATGACTTAGTAATTGGATGTTTTTGTTTGTTTGTTTCCTAATGGAGTGTGAAGAGCTCTGACAGTAAATCAACAGAATATCTGTAGTGAGAGGCATTGGGTGTTCCATGGCTTCCTGTGCTTTGCACACTGGCTCACACACGGCCTTGCATACATTAATGACCCAATAAATATTTGTTGAGAGAATGCCACCACAGAGAGCTTTGCTGAAGCGAAAAGATGGCATTGGCTGAAATTCATTTTGCCTTCTTTTAAGAGACCTTGGGCCACCCGATAACGTCTCTTAAAAGTACTTCTATGTCTTGAGGAAGCTGGAAAATCTTTGCTACTTAATGTTAACAATATCAATTTTAACCCTTCTGTATTGGTTTTAAGTTTGATTTTTGGATCTAACCAAGTTGTGTTTAAAAAAAAAATTTCTATATAATCATAAAACTTTACTTGCAAAAGTTCCTCTTTATTATATCCAACTAATAGTCATCCAGGCTCCATTTGAGAGCATCTAGTGATGTAGATCTCTGAAAGTGAGGGGAGTATGCCATCCATGGCATCAAAAACGTGTTGACCAAAGCCCTACAGACCACCAGTGAGGAAGAATTCTCTTTTGGTCATCCTGGATCCATGAATTATTTGAGTTTGGGTGTTAGACCACATATGAATTATCAAGCTCATGCTACTCCATGTTTTTGCCAAGAATATCATCCATTCATTTAATCTTTCAGCAAATACATTCTAAATGTCAGAGGATAAGTGTTAGAAATCAACAATGACTAAAGTGTGGCTTATACTTTCCTCCAATGTACAGTCTAGTCAAGGAGACAGATGTAAACCAATAAACTTAAAATACAAATGAATTCTGGTAACAAAATGCTACTCTTCTATCTCCTGGGAAAGAAGACTATAGAAGTCAAATTTGCATGTGGGTCTTGAAGGATGACTAAGAGAAGGAATCTGAGGGCCTTCATGAGATGCTTTTTAAAAAATCCAAGTATGCTAAAATGGTATCATTTTCCTGATATGAAAGTCCAACAAAGCTATCAGAATATTGAATTTGTCTTATTTTAAACAAACTGTTGGTAAACCCATTCTGAACCCCAGGAATTTCTAAGCCTTTCTCTTTGAAATGTTCACAGATTATCCTTTGAGAGGTTAATTTTAGATACTGATGTCTAACTCATTATCATATCATGTATGGAATCCATATTCTTCCATCACACACTTTTTTAAACTCTAGCAGTTTTCGGTACTATCAATTCTATCATATATTTACTAGATACAGTATATTTTTTGCCATAGCATAGGACTTGGTTTAAAAACTTATTATTTGCAATGATTAGACAAGTAAGTAGCTATATCCTTGTTTTCGTTGACCTTTTTTGTCCATAACTTTGACTTATTTAATGTCAGATTCTTGTTATGAAGCACTAGCCCCAAGTATGGCATTATTCCTACAAGAAAATTTGTCTTAACCAGGCATGGTGGCATGCCTTGTAGTCCTAGCTACTCGAAAAGGCTAAGGTGGGAGCATCACTTGAGCCCAGGAGTTTGAGGCTATAGGGAGCTATGATCATACCATTGCACTCCAGCCTGTGCAACAGCGAGACCCTGTCTCTAAAAAACTTTAATTTAAAAAGAAAAGAAAATTAGTCCATTTCTAATGATTCATTTTAAGAAGCGGTTTCTGAGTTTTATTCTTGGCTGCAAGCAACAGAATACTACTCTCAATCACATCGATTGACTTAAGCCAAAAGTCCAGAGGCACTGACTTCAGACATGACTGTTCCAGCAACTCAAATGACATTACCAAAATCCAATGTATATTTCTTCCTTTCTTGGCTCTGCTTTCCTAGATTTGACTCTACTCTTACTATGTTCTTCCCTTGGGATCCCCCTGTAACTATCAACAATATCAGGGCAGTGGCTTTCTTATCCAAAAGCAACAGGCAAAGGGACAGTCTGCTTTCTTGACACATCTAACAAAGTCTCAGAATTGAGTCTCAGTCCTAATTGACCTAGGTTACCCATTTCTGACTCTATCACTGTGGTCAGGGATGTGCTGACTGCCCTAAACTAATCAGGACTCACCACTGGAATTCAGGAAAGGATCAACCCCATATAACCCTGTATAACATGATTGGAAAATTTGGAGTAATATTGGAAGCAGGAAGATGAAAATGGATGCCGGGAAGGCAACCATAAATATCTGGCTAAGAAATTTAGAAGAGTAAGAGTAAGAAATCAGCTCTCTCAATATTTTATATAAATTATAGTGTTCATTAATTTCACTCCTTCATTCAACAAATGCATATTAAGTCTCTGCCTTAAGCCAGACACTGTGCTTAGAGTTGGGCCACAAAGATGGATAAGATCGCTGTTGACTCAAGGAATCATGATGCCACGTGATGGCCTTTAAGTCCCTGCCCTCTCTGCTCCTTTGCTTTTCTTAGAAGCTAACTTCATGGCTCACTGAACTGTTTCCATAGAATAATCTTGTCCCAAAGTACCATACATCTGCAGCTAATTCTTAAGTCTCAAGACTGAACACAAGAAACATTGATGAAGTCACTGAGAAAGCTTTGGTTTCAGTGCTCTAAAAGAAAAGCTACTTTCACGTTTACTTAAAAATAATAATAAAGCTACATTCTAAACGTTAAGCCAGAACTGTATAAACTTTTTGCCTCGAGCAGGCAAGTTCAAAAGCCAACCACCATGATTATGCTCTGAAAGATTTTCTTTCTTAAGAGGCCAAGTGCCAATTAGGCAGCAGATGCAGTGGCTGACAGCTCTCCCTGGAGGCTCCCCTGGGCAGCAGGTCACGCAGGCATAGCTTGTGCCTATTTTACAGATATGAAGTTTAGAGCCTCAGAACCCTGATCTACAGAATCCCAGCATCAGAATCACTTGGGAAGAATATTTATGATAATTATTCCTCAGCCTTACCGCAGATCTCTGGATCAGAAAAGTGGGGGGATGTGCAATGTATCAAACCCCACAGGTTTCTCTTATACACACTTATGCCTGAAACCCCTCAGTGTGTGGGCAACTGTCATCTCCTCCTAGAGGTTTTTCTCAGTGCCATTAGACAAGATAATTAAATCCCCATTAAGACTTGACGTTCTGGCCGGGTGCGGTGGCTCACACCTGTAATCCCAGCACTTTGGGAGGCCAAGGCAGGCGGATCACCTGAGGTTGGGAGTTCGAGACCAGCCTGACCAAT